AAAAAAAAACAAAAAGGCGGGTGCCTGCTAAGCTTGCCCTTTACTTCTGCGCTAGGGGGGCTCTATCATTATAATAATAAATATTTAATATAAAAATTACCCTCTTTAATAACATACCTTAGTATCTCCGATTATTGATATACTCTCTTATTATCTTCCTATATACCATATAAAATAATCGCATCTTAGTCTGATACACAATACTTAAATAAAATCATCTCTTATATTCAACATATACATAACTCAATTTGCAGAGCTATCAATCTAAGCATACTCATGTTATCCTCATTCTTCTATTTATTATCAGCCAATTATTAAGAAAACTTTTTTACACTTATAAACTCTTAGCCTAGTAATATTAATCACAAAGACTTGTATTTTGTTGGTCCAAAATACAATCAGAAACATTGTAAAATAAGTTATAAAGTTGTTAATTTTCATATTTAATTAACTAAAATCTACCTAGCTATCTAGTTCTTCATTGATGAGCTTAATTCTAAAAAAATAATTTCTAATTTATTAATATTTTTATTATATTTAATTTTAGAACTAAACTCTTTATTGACTTTAGAGTTAGCCAATCATCTTAAAAGAATTAATGCCCGTTATTACAATAGGCTTATTTTGCATAAAGTCTCAGCAATAAATATTTGATTGTTTATTGATCTTGATATAAAGTATAAAGATCAAAATATTAGAATTCCGTAATAACACTCTTTGGAATAAATGTTATAACTGCTAGGATTGATAAGAAAAATACTCAAATTAAGAATATTAACTGAATTATGTCTCTTGAATAAGGAAATAAAAAATATTAGCTCACTTGTTTTTAAATTGATATTTTTTTTGAGTCATTCTCATTTATTAATAAGATCTTATTAATTCATTTATTGCACATAGCCCCTCAATAATAAGATTTAAATATATAAAATTATCAAATGCTTGAGATTTGTAATACAAACAAAAGGTTTCAATAATGTTAAATAAGGCTATAATATAAAATTTTTTTCATCAAAACTTCTATATTAATCATGTTTGAATACCCTAAATTTATTAATTATTTTATTAAAAAAATTTGGATACATCTCAAAAATGAGCAATAATAGTTCAAAGGAAAACGAGAATGCTGGTGCATTAGCTCATTATTCAAGAAGCTAGGTAAAATTATTAAATGAAATCGTTTTTAGGAGTTTAAGATTACTTATCAAATTGAAGAAGCATTATTAGAAATTAATAATGCTTTAAATCTTTGTCCTCAATTTGCCGAAGCCTATACTTTTAGAAGTTCGATCTTTTAAATATCAGTTTAGGTGAATTATATGAGAAGTTGAAATTATATGAAAAGGCATTGGAAGATGTAAATTATAGCATATCTATCAATAATATGAATGCTAAAAGTTATTATTAACGGGGTATTAATTAGATCTGATAATTAAAGCAACAATTTATTGGAGAAAAAAAATTTTTGATCTAGCATTATAGGATTGTATAAAGTGTGTTTAGATTAATCCAAACTTTGCGATTGGTTATAATAGAATAGGTAATGAGATAAACACAAATGTTTAGGTACTATTATGGGAGATTTGAAATAAAAGGATAGTGAATTCTCATATTACAATTAAGCTATAGAAAAAGATGAAAACTGTTATTATGCATTTATGTGTAGAGGTAATAGAAAATATATATTTTAAGGTTTGTATTATTTTAATGAACAAATGATTGATTTAGCACTTAGAGATTTCTGTTAAGCTTTATCTATTAATCCTAAATATAGTTTGGCTTATTTTAATAGAGGTGAATACAATTAAATTTAATATAATAGGCGATTTATATTACGAAATTGGTGAAAAGGATAAAGCATTAAATGATTATAATGAAGCAATCTAACTTGATCCAAATTTTGCAATCGCCTATTAAAAAAGAGGTGAAAACTATTACACTCAATATATTAGGCAATTTATATCAAGATATTGGTGACCATGATAAAGCATTAAGTGACTATAATCAAGCAATCCAACTTGATCCAAAAGATGCAACAGCCTATAATAACAGAGGTGAAAACTATTACACTCAATATATTAGGCAATTTATATCAAGATATTGGTGACCTTGATAAAGCATTAAGTGACTATAATTAAGCAATCCAACTTGATCCAAAAGATGCACCAGCCTATAATAACAGAGGTGAAAACTATTACACTCAATATATTAGGCAATTTATATTAGAATATTGGTGACCAAGACTAAGCATTAAATGACTATAATCAAGCAATCCAACTCGATCCAAAATATGCAACAGCCTATTCTAACAGAGGTGGATATTATTACACTCAATATTTTAGGCGATTTATATTAGAATATTGGTGACCAAGACTAAGCATTAAATGACTATAATCAAGCAATCAAACTTGATCCAAAAGATGTAAAAACCTATAATAACAGAGGTGAAAACTATTACACTCAATATATTAGGCAATTTATATCAAGATATTGGTGACCAAGACTAAGCATTAAATGACTATAATCAAGCAATCCAACTCGATCCAAAATATGCAACAGCCTATTCTAACAGAGGTGGATATTATTACACTCAATATATTAGGCAATTTATATTAGAATATTGGTGACCAAGACTAAGCATTAAATGACTATAATCAAGCAATCCAATTAGATTCAAATTTTGTCCATACCTTTTACAGAAAAGGTTTTATCTCTAACTTAGAATTTTAGGTCTTATCTTATAAGATTTGCAATAATTTGAGCAAGCAATAATTTGTTTTGATAAAGCCATTTCTCTTGATACAAATCTGATTAATGCTTATTATAAAAAAGGTTAAATGTTTATTATCTTTTAGCAGTTTCATTATCAAAATTGAACTAAATCTTTTAAGCAATAAAATATTATAAAATAGCATAAACATTAAACCATCCTTCTTAAAATTAGATTTCTTAAAACATCAGCATACTTCGAGTATTATTATGATAATGAACTTTAAAGCAATAAGTTGTTATATTTCATTATTATTACACAATGAAATAGGAAAAATAATTCTAATTAAAGTCTTACTTTCTCCATTAATATATCGAAGCTAAACATCCTTTGTTATAAAGTGTTTTCGACATCTCTTAATCAATTTTCTTATTTAGAGATTCTAATTCTTTAAAAAAAATTTGGAAAAAAAAATTCCATAATCTTAAAATTCTCAATCAAAGTTTTCATTTTTTAATGAACTAATTAAAAATATCAGCAAAATTTACTTTTAAATTCGTTATAAAAGTTTTGAATCAATTTAAATTCTTCACTTAAAGATGTATAGATAACTTCTTAACTTAAATTTTGATTATATATATTAATCCTTTGCACATACATAAAGATAAGTTAATCTACTTAATGAAAGTTTTTAATTTTAGATATCTGTTGAGGTATAATGGATAGTTAATCTTCTTTAACAAAAATATTTCTTCTTTTTAGAGATTATTTTAAATTACTTTAAGATAAGTTTTAATGGCTTTCAAAATAAATTAAAGTGTTACATAAAATGATACATCAAAAAAAAAATTCTCAAATTTTCTACTGTCTAAAATAGAAAACCACAACAAAGTTTATAATTGATAAAAAGTTTTAATTAAATTTTTGAACTCCTATTGCAAGTATAAATTATAGAATAACCAAAAACATCAACTAAAATATTAAATAATAATCTGCTTAAGCTCCAAAGAACTTTTTTATTTATTAGTAAGAATGTAGCCGCTTGATATTCTATGCGACACTATTTAATTGCAAAAGTAAAAAAAATTTTCATAGTTATCTATTTGTCTCATTAAATACCCTTCACTAAAAGTAAAATTTAAGAATTTAAATCATTATTTCGGGAGATATTAATTTCTTACATTTTTAAGAATATTGATTTTTTAATCCGCTACAACTTTAAATAATAAAAGTCTGTATTAAGTGTTTGGAGAATTTCTTCGTTTTTTAAATTCATCAGATTATTAAATAATCTCTGATATTATGATATTAGAAATGAGTTGCACCTCATATAGAGAAAATTAGTGTTTTTAAATTTCAAAATTATTAATCACAACTTATTCCATTATCATAATTTAAATTAAATAATCTTAAAATAGTTGCTTAATAAATCAGGAAAAGTATTTACAGATGTCGAACTGAAATGAATGCCTAGTTTATCGAAATCTAGGATTTCGATTTGTTATTTTTATAATTATAGAATAATAAAGCTATAAATCTTGTAATATGATTTTTTAAAATACATATCAGAAATTTTCTTATTATTATTTCCTTCTTTAAAATTTNAAATCTTTTAAGCAATAAAATATTATAAAATAGCATAAACATTAAACCATCCTTCTTAAAATTAGATTTCTTAAAACATCAGCATACTTCGAGTATTATTATGATAATGAACTTTAAAGCAATAAGTTGTTATATTTCATTATTATTACACAATGAAATAGGAAAAATAATTCTAATTAAAGTCTTACTTTCTCCATTAATATATCGAAGCTAAACATCCTTTGTTATAAAGTGTTTTCGACATCTCTTAATCAATTTTCTTATTTAGAGATTCTAATTCTTTAAAAAAAATTTGGAAAAAAAAATTCCATAATCTTAAAATTCTCAATCAAAGTTTTCATTTTTTAATGAACTAATTAAAAATATCAGCAAAATTTACTTTTAAATTCGTTATAAAAGTTTTGAATCAATTTAAATTCTTCACTTAAAGATGTATAGATAACTTCTTAACTTAAATTTTGATTATATATATTAATCCTTTGCACATACATAAAGATAAGTTAATCTACTTAATGAAAGTTTTTAATTTTAGATATCTGTTGAGGTATAATGGATAGTTAATCTTCTTTAACAAAAATATTTCTTCTTTTTAGAGATTATTTTAAATTACTTTAAGATAAGTTTTAATGGCTTTCAAAATAAATTAAAGTGTTACATAAAATGATACATCAAAAAAAAAATTCTCAAATTTTCTACTGTCTAAAATAGAAAACCACAACAAAGTTTATAATTGATAAAAAGTTTTAATTAAATTTTTGAACTCCTATTGCAAGTATAAATTATAGAATAACCAAAAACATCAACTAAAATATTAAATAATAATCTGCTTAAGCTCCAAAGAACTTTTTTATTTATTAGTAAGAATGTAGCCGCTTGATATTCTATGCGACACTATTTAATTGCAAAAGTAAAAAAAATTTTCATAGTTATCTATTTGTCTCATTAAATACCCTTCACTAAAAGTAAAATTTAAGAATTTAAATCATTATTTCGGGAGATATTAATTTCTTACATTTTTAAGAATATTGATTTTTTAATCCGCTACAACTTTAAATAATAAAAGTCTGTATTAAGTGTTTGGAGAATTTCTTCGTTTTTTAAATTCATCAGATTATTAAATAATCTCTGATATTATGATATTAGAAATGAGTTGCACCTCATATAGAGAAAATTAGTGTTTTTAAATTTCAAAATTATTAATCACAACTTATTCCATTATCATAATTTAAATTAAATAATCTTAAAATAGTTGCTTAATAAATCAGGAAAAGTATTTACAGATGTCGAACTGAAATGAATGCCTAGTTTATCGAAATCTAGGATTTCGATTTGTTATTTTTATAATTATAGAATAATAAAGCTATAAATCTTGTAATATGATTTTTTAAAATACATATCAGAAATTTTCTTATTATTATTTCCTTCTTTAAAATTTAATTCTCACCCTAAAGTTCTATCTAAATCAATATAAACCAATTTTTAAGGCTATTTAATGAGAAGAAGAATAATCTGGTTTTATAGACATTTTCAATAATTTAATTTATTAGTCTATTTGTAATGATTAGTCATTAAATAAAATTGAAAAAAATAAACCTTTTCGATCTGAATTAAATGGAAAAAGGATTTTTTTTCAAATAAATCGATATCTATTGTAAATATCATCTTTGGTTGGTTCAATATTAAATTATTGATTTAATAAAAATTTTGTTCTCCATTTTCTTTCTCAAATAATCTCCTTTCCATTAATTACTAAATAGATTCTCTGAAATTAAAGCAACAAACCTAAAAAATTAAGCCATAAAAACTTTTTATTTTACAATTATTGATGGTGATTTAGAACTGCTGTCCTTAAAAAGTTAAATAATAAAAAAAAAAATAATAAACTTCCTCATCATCTTGCTAGTTTTATACTTTTGAAAATTTTTATTTATTCTTTAGTATTAATTATGGAGGGTAAACTGAAATCAATTTATGGATCATCAAGATATTTTGCTTTATTTTTTAGAATTTTTTTCCTACTCAGTTTTAAAATATAGTGTTTCATTTTATTCATCAAGCAAATTTTTGATTTTATGGATTGCCAAATTATTATATTTTTGCAGCAATTGGTAGATATAGATGAAAAATGTGAAAACTAGAATCAGAGTGAAACTACTTACAATAATTAATATTGAAAATCCTAATTAAAAATAGAGCTATATATTAACCTAACAAAACTTACAGCTGACATTCTTTCTTAATTTAATTTCAGTATTTCATATAAAGAAAAGATTATAGGATTTAGCATAATCTATACTACTGTTATAATTATTTTAATATTTTCTAAATTGCTCTCATTTGAAAGATTAGTTTTTACTTCCTTTCTACAATACCGATAAATGATTGGTTAACTTCTTGTAGCTCAGGTATGAGTAAAAATAGGCAAAAGGATAAAGTTACATGCCGAAGTAAAAAGAGTTAAAAAGGAGATAGTTGTGTTTATAGTTCTCTTTATTAAAATTAGCTAATGATAAAATAGATGAAAATATTGATTCTTAAAAGTTGGATTTAAAAATCCTGATTAACCATGAGTAAATAAAATATTAATAGTATTTTCTTTGATGAGAATCCTTTTCATTAATTAATTACCAATTTTAATACTTACAAAAGATAAGAATTTTTTTTTAATTTATATGATAGTAAAAAATTGATAAATCCCAATATTATCATAATGAAAAGTGTTTAAAAATATTCCTAGAAGTTACAATTGATTTAATAGCATTCAAATTATCATTTAGTTATTATGACTGGAGTTTAATAATTAAATATATTTTGTAAATTCTGATCTATTTAAGAATGGAGGGAAAGAGAAAATCACAAAAATCTCAAAATGAATATTCAAAACTTTCTAGATATTCAATATTATGAAATTTCATATCATATAATTATGAAAACATTTCAAGTTTATTCCATTTTTTTTTAATTTCAACATAAAAAGAAATTCTACTTAAAATAATGATTACATAGAATAAACTCCTTCTCACAATGGAGGTTTTTTTCATAATTTATTATTACTCTTCTGACATCTTTAGAGAGATTTACATTCCAATTTTGCTTCGTTTGATAACAGAATGCTACTTTAGATGTTAATGATCTTGTCATATTTTACTTTAACGCCTAAAACAGGNTCTTTAGTATTAATTATGGAGGGTAAACTGAAATCAATTTATGGATCATCAAGATATTTTGCTTTATTTTTTAGAATTTTTTTCCTACTCAGTTTTAAAATATAGTGTTTCATTTTATTCATCAAGCAAATTTTTGATTTTATGGATTGCCAAATTATTATATTTTTGCAGCAATTGGTAGATATAGATGAAAAATGTGAAAACTAGAATCAGAGTGAAACTACTTACAATAATTAATATTGAAAATCCTAATTAAAAATAGAGCTATATATTAACCTAACAAAACTTACAGCTGACATTCTTTCTTAATTTAATTTCAGTATTTCATATAAAGAAAAGATTATAGGATTTAGCATAATCTATACTACTGTTATAATTATTTTAATATTTTCTAAATTGCTCTCATTTGAAAGATTAGTTTTTACTTCCTTTCTACAATACCGATAAATGATTGGTTAACTTCTTGTAGCTCAGGTATGAGTAAAAATAGGCAAAAGGATAAAGTTACATGCCGAAGTAAAAAGAGTTAAAAAGGAGATAGTTGTGTTTATAGTTCTCTTTATTAAAATTAGCTAATGATAAAATAGATGAAAATATTGATTCTTAAAAGTTGGATTTAAAAATCCTGATTAACCATGAGTAAATAAAATATTAATAGTATTTTCTTTGATGAGAATCCTTTTCATTAATTAATTACCAATTTTAATACTTACAAAAGATAAGAATTTTTTTTTAATTTATATGATAGTAAAAAATTGATAAATCCCAATATTATCATAATGAAAAGTGTTTAAAAATATTCCTAGAAGTTACAATTGATTTAATAGCATTCAAATTATCATTTAGTTATTATGACTGGAGTTTAATAATTAAATATATTTTGTAAATTCTGATCTATTTAAGAATGGAGGGAAAGAGAAAATCACAAAAATCTCAAAATGAATATTCAAAACTTTCTAGATATTCAATATTATGAAATTTCATATCATATAATTATGAAAACATTTCAAGTTTATTCCATTTTTTTTTAATTTCAACATAAAAAGAAATTCTACTTAAAATAATGATTACATAGAATAAACTCCTTCTCACAATGGAGGTTTTTTTCATAATTTATTATTACTCTTCTGACATCTTTAGAGAGATTTACATTCCAATTTTGCTTCGTTTGATAACAGAATGCTACTTTAGATGTTAATGATCTTGTCATATTTTACTTTAACGCCTAAAACAGGATTATAAATATTAGCTTATAAAATTCACTACTATCTTATGAGTTGTATCTGCAAATTCAATAAGGATAGGGGTTATAGATTTAATTTCAATATCATATTCTTCATCATAGGCTTTTATAATTTCAATTAAAATCAGATGAACACCAAGAATTGAATATTGCATTGATAGTTGAATGAATGTAATAAAGATTTAAAGTGGAAATGTAGGAAGCATCATAAACTAGTATTAATCATGATTACTTAACCTATTCTGATCTGATTTGATTTGTTAAGAAACTTTGCTTATAATATACAATTCAAACAGCTAGAGTCAATGAAAATATGCAATTACATCTTTGCAGCATAAGAAAAATATAGGAGAATGATAGAAAAATAGATTTTTAATATCTGTAGAATTTATCAAAGAATTAATTTTGATAAATTTCAAGTAATAAAATGAAACTAAAACGATTTAATATCGATTGGTCAAAAGTTTTTGTAAGACACAGATATCAAATAAGATTATAATAAAGAGTCTGAATTAAATAAATAAATAACATATGTAAAGATCATAAAAATGAAATTTAATATGTAAACTCAAATTAACTATAAGTAGTTCAAACTAGATTGGCATGCTTTTAATGTGTGACAATTTTATAAAGTATAAGACTTTAGATACTTTTAAATATTTTTGAGAATTGTAATGCTGCAAAAAATTTATCTTAAATATAGTAAAGCATAATGATGATTTATGAATAAATGATAAAAGCAAAAGAAAGCCTTTTTATAAATTAAAAATCAAATTTTAATAAATAAATGGTTATCTTGACCAGATAAATTTAATTACTTCAAAAAAAATTAAAAATATAAAGAAATAACATTCTTTTCAAAAGGACTGATAATTATTAGAAGAAGAAGTTATGATTTTTTTATTGTAAGAATTTTAAATTATAGATATTTACAAATTTCCTGCTTAATTATGAATTAGAGTAATTATTAAGAATATTCTTATGTTAAATTTGTGAAGATATTATTAGATTAGAAACCAATCAATAATTACCTAATCTTATAAAAAGAATAAGAAATTAATAATAAATTATATTAGCTTTAGTCATAAACAGAAGATTGATAGCCAGTATAATATTTGTTAAGTTTAATTTTGTTGATCTTTAGGTATCATATTAGGAACTTTATTCTAAAATTTAAATAGTAACTGTTTAGTTTCAAATCAAAGTGTGAACCTCAAAAAAATTAAAAGTTTCTTGATTTTGGTTCAATTAGAAATATGTGTCTAAAGTTATAAATGATTAATTTTAAATAATGGATACTATTACATTCAAATTAAATACTATAGTATAATAGCTGACAAACATACATCATTCAGCTTAAAAGTTAATGATAAACTCATATAAATTGTTCTAAAAGATACAAAATATGGATTATTTAAGTCCAAAATATGCTGAAAGGTAAGATTGAGAACTTTGGTTATAAAATTTTAAATGACTAATAGATTGTGAATAAGAAGATGGCATTCATTTTGAACTTCTAAAATCTAAAAAGAAAGATGATTTCTTAAAATGATATTTCACTAGAGACATTTAACTATTTATGTAAAAGAGATATTTTTTTTTCTGCTTAATTAAAACACTAAATTAATTATTACATATATGTAGATTTATAATTTAACATCAGAATTTAAAAGTTACTGATTAAGTTAATTATCATCTTCCATAAATTTGATAAGAGTTAATAATAATTTATCTTCCTTGTTTAAAAAAAGTAAGATATAAATTTTGAACTTCTTGTTTGTTTATAGAAAAATTTGATTTTAAATAATTTTCTTAATTTAAAATATACAATTTTATTTAAAGAATGTCATCAATTTTTAAAAAGTATTTTTTTATATGTTGGTTGATTTTTCAAAATTCATTTTTTAATTACTAACTATCTTTAAAATATTTTGAACAAAATTTACAATCTCTATAAGAAGAGTCATACTAAGTTTTGACCACATTTATAAAATATGGAAAAAATATTACCATATTAACCTAAATGACTTAATTACCTATATCTAAAGGGTCATACTAAGTTTTTGACTAAGATATAATATTTTCAATATTCCAATTATCATACAATAATCCAAAGATTGTACAATTAGAAGATCACTTATAAAAATATGAGGTTTACATTATTCAAAATAACAACGAAAAAGGAGACAATTTTCAAAAAGTTTTTTTACTTAATACCTAAGGAATTTAGGGTTGCGACTGGTGTTGTAACAATAATTCATTGGGTGTAGCCAAACCAACAACAACCAGAGGTAATAATAGAGAGAAAAAAATTCTTGATAATAGTAAAACCTACAATTAACATTAATATGACTAATAATCTGAAATGGTATTACTCAATGTAAGCTCTTTTCCTTACAACTATATATCCAATAATCATAATTAAAATAATATATGATATATATTAGAACTCAAATTATGTATAAATTAAAATATTCATATAAAATAAAGATATTCTATTTTAGTTAAAATCAAGCTATGCAAATGTTGAAATGAATTCTAAAAGCATATTTTATCTTAATGATATTCCATTTCATATCTAAAAAATGCTTCTATTTTACAAAAATACATAAGATAATTTTAACTATTTTGCAGTGTATAACTTATACTTTGAGTAATAGAAATTCAATATTAAAAATAAAAAAGAGAATGCAGGGCACTTTATAAGAGAATGAAGTTATAACTGACATATTTAGTTAAATTAAGGATGTAGATGAACAACTCTTTGATGTCGTTTTAGAAATGCTTATAAAGAGAAAGGTTTAAGATTGCATTGGATATCTTTCTAAAGATGAAAATCAAAAACATATATAATCGTAAATCTTACAACAACAAGAGAATAAAACCCAAGTTGACAAAGAATAGAAATTGTTTGTTATTGTAAATAACATTAAATAAATTACAGATGTTTTAAAAAAATTAAAAGATCATGACTTTAATTCCAAAGATTTTTCTTCTAAAGAAAAATATGAATCTACATTAAGTCTAATTAATAGCATCAAGAATAATAGCTAGATCATCAAATTTTTGTAATTTTTAGTTCACCTTACATCCTTTGATACAACTTTAATATAATGTGGGTCTAATTCATTACATATTTTAGTGTAGTTGAAAGTGAACCTTAGAAATACAAATTTTGAAAATATTAAGATCTTAAACACTTCTTTAGTAGGAGCGAACTTTGTAAAATGCAATTTAAGCGGATCAAAGTTAGATAATGTAGATATCAGTGGGATAAATTTGAATGGTGCTTAATTATTCAATTGCAATTGGAAGAACATAAAAATAAATGAATTGAATAAATTGGATGGACACAGCGGCAGCGTGAATTCAGTATGTTTCTCTCGTGATGGAACTAATTTAGCATCTGGTAGTGAAGATAAGTCTATTCGTCTTTGGAATGTAAAAACAGGATAATAAAAAGCTAAATTAGAAGGTCATACTCATAATGTTTTGTCAGTCTGTTTCTCTCCTGATGGAAATACATTAGCATCCGGTAGTGAAGATAAGTCTATTATTCTTTGGAATGTAAAAACAGGATAATAAAAAGCAAAATTAAAAGGTCATAGTGATTGGGTTAGATCAGTTTGTTTCTCTCCTAATGGAAATACATTAGCATCTGGTAGTGAAGATAAGTCTATCTACCTTTGGGATGTCACAACAGGATAGTAAAAAGCCAAATTAGATGGTCATAGTGATTATGTTAGATCAGTCTGTTTCTCTCCTGATGGAAATACATTAGCATCCGGTAGTGAAGATAAGTCTATTATTCTTTGGAATGTAAAAACAGGATAATAAAAAGCAAAATTAAAAGGTCATAGTGATTGGGTTAGATCAGTTTGTTTCTCTCCTAATGGAAATACATTAGCATCTGGTAGTTAGGATAACACTATTCGTCTTTGGGATGTCAACACAGTATAATAAAAAGCCAAATTAGATGGTCATGGTAATTATGTTAGATCAGTTTGTTTCTCTCCTGATGGAAATACATTAGCATCTGGTAGTGAAGATAAGTCTATCTACCTTTGGGATGTCACAACAGGATAGTAAAAAGCCAAATTAGATGGTCATAGTGATTATGTTAGATCAGTCTGTTTCTCTCCGGATGGAACTACTTTAGCATCTAGTGGTTAGGATAATACTATCCGTCTTTGGGATGTCAAAATAGAATAATAATAAATAAAATTAGACGGTCATAGTAAATATATCAACTCAGTTTGTTTCTCAGCTGATGGAAAGACATTAGCATCCGGTAGTGAAGATAAGTCTATTCGTCTTTGGGATGTTACCACAGGATAATAAAAAGTCAAATTAGATGGTCATAGAGGATATGTCTATTCAGTTTGTTTCTCACCTGATGGAAATACATTAGCATCTGGTAGTTAGGATAACTCAATTCGTATTTGGGATGTCAACACAGGATAGTAAAAAACCAAATTAGATGGTCATAGCGATTATGTTAGATCAGTCTGTTTCTCTCCGGATGGAAATACACTAGCATCTGGTAGTTATGATAACTCTATCCGTCTTTGGGATGTCAAAATAGGATAATAAAAAAGTAAATTAGATGGTCATAGCGATTATGTCTACACTGTTTGTTTCTCAGCTGATGGAAAGACATTAGCATCTGGTAGTGAAGATAAGTCTATTCGTCTTTGGGATGTTACCACAGGATAATAAAAAGTCAAATTAGATGGTCATAGAGGATATGTCTATTCAGTTTGTTTCTCCCCTGATGGAAGCACATTAGCATCTGGTAGTGAAGATAAGTCAATCCGTTTTTGGGATGTCAAAAAAGAATAATAAAAAACCAAATTAGATGGTCATAGTGGAACTGTCTACTCAATCTGTTTTTCACCTGATGGAAGTAAATTAGCATCTGGTAGTGAAGATAAGTCAATTCGCCTTTGGGATGTCAACACAGGATAATAAAAAGCCAAATTAGATGGTCATAGTGATTATGTTTTATCAGTTTGTTATTCACCTGATGGAATTACATTAGCATCTGGTAGTGAAGATAAGTCTATTCGTCTTTGGGATGTTAAAACAGGATAATACAAAGCCAGATTAGATGGTCATAGTGAAACTGTCTACTCAGTTTGTTTGTCACCTGATGGAAGTATATTAGCATCTGCTAGTAAAGATAAGTCTATACGCCTTTGGGATGTCAAAAATGAATAATAAAAAACAAAATTAGATGGTCATAATGGATATGTTTACTCAGTCTGTTTCTCACCTGATGGAAATACATTAGCATCTGGTAGTGAAGATAAGTCTATCCGTCTTTGGGATGTCAAAAAAGAATAGTAAAAATCCAAATTAGATAGTCATAGTGGGATTGTCTACTCAGTCTGTTTCTCACCTGATGGAAATACCTTAGCATCTGGTAGTTAGGATAACTCTATCCTTCTTTGGGATGTCAAAAAAGTAAAATAAAAAGCCAAATTAGATGGCCATAGTGGAACTGTCAACTCAGTTTGTTTCTCACCTGATGGAAATACATTAGCATCTGGTAGTTAGGATAACTCTATCCGTCTTTGGGATGTCAAAAAAGTATAATAAAAAGCCAAATTTGATGGTCTTAGTGGAAATGTTTTCTCAATCCGTTTCTCTCCTGATGGAAAAAAATTAGCATCTGGTAGTGAAGATAAGTCTATCCGTCTTTGGGATGCCTTATCAGGATAATTAAAAACCAAATTAGATGGTCATAGTGGATATATTTACTCAGTCTGTTTCTCACCTGATGGAAATACATTAGCATCTGGTAGTGAAGATAAGTCTATCCGTCTTTGGGATGTTAAAACAGGATAATTAAAATCTAAATTGGATGGGCATAGTGATAGAGTTTGGTCAGTCTGTTACTCTCTTGATGGAAATATATTAACATCTAGTAGTGGTGATCAGTCGATCCATTTATGGGATGTTAAAAATGAAAAATAAATTTCATCCGCTGACAAAAATTATAGAAATATCAATACGTAATTTAAAGCCCTAATTTTTTAAAACAATCCTATACCAGGTATTTATTATTTAATTATTATTTAGGCTCTAATTATTCAATTCTTGTTATATCTCACGAAATTATATTGGAAGCCTAAGGAACACAGATCTTGTAAGGAGAATTTATTAATCATTAAGAGAAAGATTTAAAACCGTTGCTCAAATCAAAAGGAAGTTGCTTTTTAGAAGATTTAAAGAAAAGGTGAATTTTTTGACTATCAACAACAATACAATTATAAATATAATCAAATTCTAATATTTTTTAATTATGTCTTTATTTACTAATTTTTATCTTAATTCTTAAGTTATTTCAGTACATGTTTTTTTCAAAAGTTGATTTCATTTTAGTTGAATGTACACCTCCTTCAATTAAATATATAAAATCCATAAGTCTAGTGTAGGGAATATTTATTGAGATGTTATATAATCTCATATCAATTTATCTTTATAGAGATTTAAACTTAATTGAAACTTCTTAAAATAAATACTCTACTTCTCTTTTAAAGGACAAAACTGAGAGCATTAAGAGGCTGTTTTAAGAAAATTTAAATTAACACAACTCCATTCTATTTAAATCATATAGGATATTCTAAGATAGATTTACTTAATTTATGTTTATTTATATGATTATAAATAGTGAAAGATATATTTCATAAAAAAGATAATAATAAAAAGATATGTCAAGAATAAAAAAAATAAATATTATCCTAGATTATTTAAGTAAATAATTTAAACTATAAAAAGGTTGAAACAATTAGATTTAATAATTATAAAAACTCTTTTATTAAAACCTTTTATTATTTATTAAATAGATATTTAAAGTATTTCTGAATATAAATTAAAGATATAGTAATCATTAATAAGTATTATATCCCCTAAAGGATAGAGATTTAAGGAGATATTTATAAATTACCTAACATTCATCTCATAATCTTAAATACTGATTAACTTAAGCTCTATGTGAATTCTTACATACATCCAAAGTGGCAACTTTCAACAATTCTTTAAATTTCTATAAATATTTAAAGTATTGTTGATCACTGATTTAATGTAAAAAGGCTTTAAAGAGTTAGAACTATATAACCACTTTTACCTTCAAGACGATTTTCACGAAAATACCCCTTAACACATCTTAACTCTTTAAAAACTCATCAAATAGTTAAATTTTACAATAAAATTAATAAACTAAGAAATTACCCTAAATTAATTTTAAATAATTCAAAAGTGATAAAATTGAAGTAAAAGAAGAATAAAAGTAACCCATACATATCCAGAATGGATAATCTTAAAATAATGAAATTTTTCATCTTTATAAAATTGAGATTCACCCCCTAAGATTAATAGGATGATAAATTTATAGAACTAACTAAAAAATAAAAAGTATGAAATTAATGATACTTATTATTGGGTAAAAGTCAATATATGTGTATTTTATCTTAATTACAAAATATAAAATTTTTCAATAATTATTTTATGAATTAAGGTTAAAAAGTTTAATGATTTTATGTTACAGTTAGTTTGAAAATAACTCTGTTTAATTTAAAATACCTTTTTTCGTCAATTTTCTCCTCCTCCATGTTCATTTTAGGACTATTCATCCTCTATTTTCTACTCTTCTCTATTACCTCAGGTGACATATGGGGTTTGGCTACACCCTATTTACCCCCGCTTCCTGAGTAAATTATAATGTCTTTTGTACCTTGCTTCGCTTGCATCAACAACCGCCTCCTTCATCCANGGGAATATTTATTGAGATGTTATATAATCTCATATCAATTTATCTTTATAGAGATTTAAACTTAATTGAAACTTCTTAAAATAAATACTCTACTTCTCTTTTAAAGGACAAAACTGAGAGCATTAAGAGGCTGTTTTAAGAAAATTTAAATTAACACAACTCCATTCTATTTAAATCATATAGGATATTCTAAGATAGATTTACTTAATTTATGTTTATTTATATGATTATAAATAGTGAAAGATATATTTCATAAAAAAGATAATAATAAAAAGATATGTCAAGAATAAAAAAAATAAATATTATCCTAGATTATTTAAGTAAATAATTTAAACTATAAAAAGGTTGAAACAATTAGATTTAATAATTATAAAAACTCTTTTATTAAAACCTTTTATTATTTATTAAATAGATATTTAAAGTATTTCTGAATATAAATTAAAGATATAGTAATCATTAATAAGTATTATATCCCCTAAAGGATAGAGATTTAAGGAGATATTTATAAATTACCTAACATTCATCTCATAATCTTAAATACTGATTAACTTAAGCTCTATGTGAATTCTTACATACATCCAAAGTGGCAACTTTCAACAATTCTTTAAATTTCTATAAATATTTAAAGTATTGTTGATCACTGATTTAATGTAAAAAGGCTTTAAAGAGTTAGAACTATATAACCACTTTTACCTTCAAGACGATTTTCACGAAAATACCCCTTAACACATCTTAACTCTTTAAAAACTCATCAAATAGTTAAATTTTACAATAAAATTAATAAACTAAGAAATTACCCTAAATTAATTTTAAATAATTCAAAAGTGATAAAATTGAAGTAAAAGAAGAATAAAAGTAACCCATACATATCCAGAATGGATAATCTTAAAATAATGAAATTTTTCATCTTTATAAAATTGAGATTCACCCCCTAAGATTAATAGGATGATAAATTTATAGAACTAACTAAAAAATAAAAAGTATGAAATTAATGATACTTATTATTGGGTAAAAGTCAATATATGTGTATTTTATCTTAATTACAAAATATAAAATTTTTCAATAATTATTTTATGAATTAAGGTTAAAAAGTTTAATGATTTTATGTTACAGTTAGTTTGAAAATAACTCTGTTTAATTTAAAATACCTTTTTTCGTCAATTTTCTCCTCCTCCATGTTCATTTTAGGACTATTCATCCTCTATTTTCTACTCTTCTCTATTACCTCAGGTGACATATGGGGTTTGGCTACACCCTATTTACCCCCGCTTCCTGAGTAAATTATAATGTCTTTTGTACCTTGCTTCGCTTGCATCAACAACCGCCTCCTTCATCCACCCGCTCTCCTCAGTAGGGGCTTTTAGCCCCTTGGCTTGGAGTCATTTGAATGCAACCACAATAGAAAAAATTTTTTGTTACGATTAGCTATTCCATTGAATTCCTAAGAAATTCACCTTAGTCAAGGTATTTCAACATTAAAAATCACTGTTTTTAATAGGGTTTTAATGTTATCCAATAACCAAAATTCTATTAAATGAAATAATGAAGAGGAAAATAAAAACACGTCATTTCCAAAATAAACATCCTTACCTTTTTTATTTATTTGTAATACTTCAGAAAAATAATCATTTGTTTTGCATTAAGCTTTCCAAAAAGTAAATCTCTTTTGAAGGTAAAAATTATCCTAAAATAAAACCTTAATAATTTATCAAATCTCCCTTAAGGACAAGAACTCATACAAATTGTATTTTTGGGATANCCTAAAGGATAGAGATTTAAGGAGATATTTATAAATTACCTAACATTCATCTCATAATCTTAAATACTGATTAACTTAAGCTCTATGTGAATTCTTACATACATCCAAAGTGGCAACTTTCAACAATTCTTTAAATTTCTATAAATATTTAAAGTATAACCACTTTTACCTTCAAGACGATTTTCACGAAAATACCCCTTAACACATCTTAACTCTTTAAAAACTCATCAAATAGTTAAATTTTACAATAAAATTAATAAACTAAGAAATTACCCTAAATTAATTTTAAATAATTCAAAAGTGATAAAATTGAAGTAAAAGAAGAATAAAAGTAACCCATACATATCCAGAATGGATAATCTTAAAATAATGAAATTTTTCATCTTTATAAAATTGAGATTCACCCCCTAAGATTAATAGGATGATAAATTTATAGAACTAACTAAAAAATAAAAAGTATGAAATTAATGATACTTATTATTGGGTAAAAGTCAATATATGTGTATTTTATCTTAATTACAAAATATAAAATTTTTCAATAATTATTTTATGAATTAAGGTTAAAAAGTTTAATGATTTTATGTTACAGTTAGTTTGAAAATAACTCTGTTTAATTTAAAATACCTTTTTTCGTCAATTTTCTCCTCCTCCATGTTCATTTTAGGACTATTCATCCTCTATTTTCTACTCTTCTCTATTACCTCAGGTGACATATGGGGTTTGGCTACACCCTATTTACCCCCGCTTCCTGAGTAAATTATAATGTCTTTTGTACCTTGCTTCGCTTGCATCAACAACCGCCTCCTTCATCCACCCGCTCTCCTCAGTAGGGGCTTTTAGCCCCTTGGCTTGGAGTCATTTGAATGCAACCACAATAGAAAAAATTTTTTGTTACGATTAGCTATTCCATTGAATTCCTAAGAAATTCACCTTAGTCAAGGTATTTCAACATTAAAAATCACTGTTTTTAATAGGGTTTTAATGTTATCCAATAACCAAAATTCTATTAAATGAAATAATGAAGAGGAAAATAAAAACACGTCATTTCCAAAATAAACATCCTTACCTTTTTTATTTATTTGTAATACTTCAGAAAAATAATCATTTGTTTTGCATTAAGCTTTCCAAAAAGTAAATCTCTTTTGAAGGTAAAAATTATCCTAAAATAAAACCTTAATAATTTATCAAATCTCCCTTAAGGACAAGAACTCATACAAATTGTATTTTTGGGATATAAAAGGGTTGTTTTTTAAATGGAAATCTTGCATTTTCCCAATATGTTGGTATATATATTTTATGAGGATTTTATTTTTTATCCTGTTTTGACATCCCTTAGACGAATAAAGTTATCTTCACTAACAGAAGCTAATGAATTTCCTCAGCAAATTTACAAACTGAATAGAGAGTTTAACAATGGCCATCCAATTTTTATCAATTTAGCTTCATTTAAATTGATTCCATAAAAATTCACATTATCAAATTCAGATCTTGATAAATTGCTTTTTGCTAAATTTAATTCATATAAAGAAGTATTTTTAATTTTGAAATAAATAAATTTTTTTTGCGAGATCAATTTTCATTTCAACAAAAAGTGATTTAGATCCATCGATAAATTTTGATATGTCTAAATAATTTACACATTTGAGATAGTTTTTAAATGAGATATTTGTGCCTGTATTATTGACAATTTTGATCAAATCAGCAATTGAATAATATTATTGCCTCTCAAACACTGATATACAATAATCCTTATTATCAAGATTACACTTAATTTTTTTCATTTATGCTCATTTATCTTGTAAGGTTTGTTGGGAATTTTTTTTCATCATGTAGATAACAATCAAATATTTACAAATTTTCCCTAATTGTCTCTGCTTTTCTTTTAATAAAAAAGAATTAATTGATTAGTTAAAGAATTAAATGGATAACTTAATTTAATTAAGTTAAAGTTCATTAAAAGGAAATTGATTAACTATATTAAGGATCGTTGAAATTATTAATGAGAGTTCCAAAAACTACTACAGATTAACTTTTAAATCTTCTTGTTAAACCTCTCGTACTATTGAATAATGAAGAGGTAGCATAAATAACGAGAAAAATTCAGGATAGACACAATTTATGGTAAGAATGTTATATAATATAAAATTGTAAACATTAGGAATTTTAAAGGAAAATTAAGTAATATACCAAAAAATAAGAATAACTATGAAATAAAGGAGGATATATTTGGAAATAACATCAATAGGAGCAACATATAAACACTTAGTAATTAGTCATTATAAATAGAATTTAAATACATTCAATAAAAAAATTAATAACTGTAAAAATGGCGTAAAGGTGAAAATATTGAATAGAATAGTTAAACAAATACAATTAATATGAAAAGATTATATGTTTTAAATAATTTATGTTTTCTCTTCTCCCTAACAGATGGAAAAAATTCACTTAACTTAATCTTTGGAATCATTTCAATTGTAAAATTTTCTACTGACAGAGTAATAAATTTGGTAAATAAAGTTAAAGCAAAGCTTAAATTAGTACTACATCCGTCTTAATAATCCTATTATATCTTTGTATGCTGAGATATCTAAATATTAGGCAAAGCATTATTCAATTTATGGAATTTCAGATTTTAAGTCATTCAGTAGATATTCTTAGAAATTAAATTTATCATATCACAATCTAATAAATTTTATAATTTTATATAATAAATGCAAAATGTATAATGACAATTAACAAAACTTCATTCTTATCTAAAACATAATTAAAATAGTATTATTTGTGAATTAATTGTACTTCTGATTCCTACTATATTGAAAATAAGCATCAATAGTAACTCCATAATCTCTTTAGAGGGATGTAAATTTTATAAATATATAAATTTCGTTTGTTTAAATTAAGAACGAGCTCAGCTTCCGGAATAGGAGCCTCGCCCGCAACCTATTAAATAGGTTTAAACTTGGATAGGTTTTGCATAATTGAAGAACCCGTGAAGGATTAAGTTTTTTATATTAAATAATTTTCTTAAATATTAAAATATTAATTTATAATTTATGGGTTTATAATATAATATATTAATAATTAAATATATATATATCAATACATCTAACTATTCATTGTTATTCTTGTATGTTATTAGTTTTCAAGCTTTTTTCTGATTCTCTCATGCTACAAATGTATCGATCTAAGTTTATTTATATAAAGACACACTTTAATTA